ACCCGGATTCTGGGCCTGTGTTCGGCTGGCTTGGGAGCACAATTCCTGCATCTGCTTGTGGTGGCTTTGTCCTTATACCCTTTGGCCTCACAGGGAGGCCAGGAGGAAGCTTAACCCTACTTATCACATTTAGGTCAGATATATACAGAGGAGAGACAAAGAGAAGATCTTCCATCCAATGACTCACTCCCCAAATGATTGCAACAGCCGGAGCTGCACTGATCCGAAGTCAGGAGCTAGGAGCTCTGCTGGGTCTCCTTCACAGGTGCAGAGTCCCAAGGCTTTGGGCCATCCTTGTCTGCCCTCCCACGCCACAAGCAGGGAGCTAGAAGGGAAGCAGGGCTGTCAGGATTAGAACCGGCACCCATATGAGATTCCAGTATATTCAAGGCGAGGACTTTAGCTGCTAGGCCACCATGCCATGCACCCCCCCTTTTAAGATTTTTTATTAGATTTTTTAATTGGAAAGGCAGATATACAGAGAGGAGAGACAGAGAGGAAGTTCTTCTGCTTGATGGTTCACTTCCCAAGCAGCTGCAATAGCTGGAGCTGAGCCAATCTGAAGCCAGGAGCCCAGAGCTTCTTCTGGATCTCCCACACAGGTGCAGGGTCCCAAGGCTTTGGGTTGTCCACTGCCTTCCTAGTCCACAAGCAGGGAGCTAGATGGGAAGCAGGGGCACTGGGATTAGAACCAGCACCCATATGGGATCCTGGTGCATTCAAGGTGAGGACTTTAGCTGCTAGGCTACTGTCCAGGTCCTCTTTGTTTTATTTTTAAATAGATTTATATATCTTTTCTTGGGAAGGCAGATTTACAGAGACGAACAGAAGACCGAAAGATCTTTCACCTGCTGTTTCATTCCCCAAGTGACCACAAAGGCTGGAGCTGAGCTGATCCGAAGTCAGGAGCCCAAGAGCTTCTTCTGGGTCTCCCACATGGGTCAGGGTCCCAAGGTTTGGGCCATTCTCTACTGCTTTCCCAGACCACAAGCAGGGAGCTAGAAGGGAAGTGGAACAACTGGAACACAAACCATTGCCCATATGAGATGCTGGTGCTTGCAGGTCCCTTGCGTGGACCATGTAAGAGCTGTGTACTGTGACATCAAAGCTCTTCCACTCATTTCCTTATTCCCAGGCAGTGTCTCAGTGTTTGAAGGACGACAACTCCTCATTCATTATTTGTCTTTTCGCATTGTAAAACATAACCATCCCTTGGTATCTGTGGGGAACTAACTCTGGAACAGCTTACCCTGACCCCTAAACCCATGAATGCTCAGGGCCTTATAAGGAATGCTGCAGTTTGCAGATTCCTTGCACACATCCTCCTATCCACGTCAATGTATCTCAAAGACCTTCTTCTGTGTCAATGCCAGGTGTATTGTTTGGGGAATAATGCTAAGGAGACGTCTGTAAGCATTCAGCACAGATGCGATATGTTTCCAAGGCTTTTCGACCGACTACTGGTTGAATCCACAGATCCAGAACTCATTGATGTGGAGAGCTGGCTGCACAGGAGAAGATGTGTAAGGTACAGGCAAATATGACTGCATCTTACATAAGAGACCCGAGCACCTGTGGCCTTTGGAGCCAGTCCCTTGTGGATGCAGAGGGACAAATCACACCCCTACATCTTTGCCGTGTGGCTCTGCAGTGTCTTCTATTCTTGTTAATGTTGGGACTTACCACACAACTCACTTCAACCAGTAAAATGCTCACCGACTTGTGACTATGTATACAAGTGATTTTTTTATACAGTTTTTAGAAAGATTAATTTTATTTGGAAGGCAGATTTTACAGAGGAGACACAGAAAGAGGTCTTCCTCTGGTTCACTCCCCCAGTGGCTGCAATGACCAGAGCTGAGCTGATCCAAAGCTGGATGCCAGGAGCTTCCTCTGGGCCTCCCACTTGGATGCAGGGTTCGAAGGCTTTGGGCCATCTTTTGCTGCTATCCCAGGCCACAAGCAGGGAGATGCATGGGAAATGGGGCAGCCAGGGCTTGAACTGGTACTCATATGGGATGCCAGCACAGCAGGGCAGATTAGCTTGTTGCACCACATGCTGGCCCCAGTACATACGTACCCAAAAGGCAGAGACAGAAAATACCCACAACAGCCAGGGCTGGGCCAGGCTGAAGCCAGGAGCCCAAACTCAATCTGGAGTCTCCCGGGTGGGTGGCAGGGACTCACCTAACAAAACCACCGCTATCTGCTGCCTCCTAGGATGTACATAAGCAGGAGGCTGGCACAGGACCAGAGCTGGCGTTCTGATATGGAATGTGGGTTGTCCCAAGTAGCATTTTCCATGATGTACTAGACACCTGTCCCACATGTGTGGCTTTCAACATTGTCGGAGTACACATTTGACCTAGCAAGGAAGATGACCACATTGCGTGAAGGAGTGCCTGGGTTTCAATACCTCACTCCACCTTCCTGCTAACACAGACCCTGGGCGGCAGCAGGGACGGCTCATGTAATCGGGTCCTTACCTCCCACGTGAGAAACTGAGATGAAGTTCCCTGCTTTTGGCTTCAGCGTGGCCCAGTCCCAGCTATTGCAGGCGTTTGGGGAATGAAAGAGCACTTGGGACATCTCTCTCAAAAATTAAATATTCTTGACTGATTTTTAAAAATGCACTTTTATGATCTGTCTTGACCACTTGTGCCTCTGCCACTTCATCACAGCCTGCTCTGGGTGTCTGCACATCAGACCCACAGCCTGAAGCCAAACCTAGACCAACTCAGCCAAGATCAGCCAGACCTGAAGAAAACTGTTGTGAGGGATTTATGTGGCATTACCATCCCAACATGCAATAACTAACATACAACTCAATATAATCATGGCTCCTTAGCACAGGGTACATGTTCTAGAACATTCTACAGATTACTGAAACTGTGAATAGCACCAAACTCCATCCTCGTCATACTGTCTCCAAATCACACGTACCTATAATAAAAGTTTAATTTATAAATCAATCACAGTAGGAGAACACCACCAACATGGTAAAATACAACAACTATAACAACACACTCTAATAAAAGCAATTGAAAACTTAGAAACTGCTTATTTCTGGAATTTTCAGCTTCCTATTTTTCAACCACAGCTGGCCATCAGTAATTGAATCCATGGGAAGCAGGGCTGTGGATAGGGGTAGTGAGGGGGCAGGGGGCAGGGAAGCTGGCGGAATTGCCAAGGTTAAGTGAGACAATAAGTACAAGGTACTTAGCAACAAGACTACAAAGAACAAGTCTGCAGAAGCTATTAGCCATTATTCTCACCACTGGGAAGTCTGGAACAGAACAGAAGGAACTGTGGTGACACAAGGTCTAGGTGGGGAAGAGGCCAGTATCCGACCATTTGAGGCAGGAAGGCTCCATCTCTGCTCAGCTCCCTTCTGCAGTCTTTTTACATTATTTCTGCATTTATTTATTTGAGAGGCACAGAGGGAGAGAAAGAGAGAGAGAGAGAGAGGAGAAAGAGAGAACTCCCCATCTGCTAGGTCATGAGTTCATTTCCCCCAGGCCCACAGTGCCCTGGGGCTGGGGAGTAGAGCCAGGAGCTGGGAGTTTAGCCCATGTCTCCTACTTGGGTGGTAAGGACTCCTCCTTGAGCCATCCCCTCTGCCTCCCAGGGTAAGCATTGGCAGCAAGCTGGAACCCAAAACAAAACTGGGATTGGAACTTGATGGGAGAAGCAATCAGCCTCTTAACTGAAAGGCCACACACACACACACACACACACACACACCCTGCTCCTACGAAATATTTTTTTAATTACAGAAAGAAAAAAGAGACAGATTTTTTTTTTTTCCTATCTGCTGGTCCCAATGGCTGGAACTGGGTCATTCCAAAGCCAGGAGCTTCTTCTGGGTCTCCCATGTGGGAATGGGGGGTCGGTAAGCACTTGGACTATCTTCTGCTGTTTTCCCAGGCCCATTAGCAGAGAGCTGGATGTGCAGTAGAATAGCCAGGACTTGACCTGGGGGAGGCTTAGTCTGCTATGCCATGGGGCTGGCTCCAGGTTGCAGCTTCTCTCAGGGACTCAGAAAAACTGGAGTCTGTGATGAATTGCTCCAACCCCACTCTGTCCTCCCCTGGGTGTGAGGGCTAGGCCAGTCAGCTGACAGCAAGCAGCTGGCAGTCAGAGCCAGTGTGGGTGGACGAGCCCATAGTCCGCCCCTGAGTCCTGCTGGAGCCCCAGCAATTTTCAGAGAGGTACAGCTCTGTGACCAGCGAGGGAAGAAGCAACACGGTCTAGGGCCAAGTTGTGAATCAATCTGAGAAACAGATTGTACAAAAGGCTTCTTTATTGAGAGCAGCGAGTGTAAAAAAAACAACAAACAAACAAACAAACAACAACAACAATAATAAAAGTGTGAGGCCAGGGGTCGCCCACCCCTACCTCCCAGGCCCACCCACCCCACGCTGCAATTACATACAAAAGTCGCCCATGGTGCATACAAAAAGGGCGGGTTAATATAGTGTCAAAAGCTCCTGAAAACTCCTTCATCTGCCAGGCACTTAGGAAAGGAGAGAAGGGCTGGGGAAGGTATGGAATGGGGTCAGCGTGCACAAGCGAGCCAGCCCAAGGTGGGGAGGCCTCATTGGCCATGTCCTCCGAAACCCTGGGCTACACTCCACATGGGGCCCCATGAGTCAAGAGCCTCTTGGGGCCTGTGTGTTCTCAGAACTAGCCTGGGGCTCAAGTCCATGAAGGAACTTTCCTCCCCAGGCCCCAGCTCTGCCCCAGAACCCCAGTCTCACTGAGAAGTCAGCAGGTGAGCAGCAGAGCTGCACCTGCTCCAGGGGGAGAAGTATTGCAGGCCAGAGATGCAAAGGGTTACCTGAGGCACCCACACTGTCCCCAGAGGTGGGGGATGGGTGGCAGAGAAGGCCCTGGCCAACCACTCAGCCTGGGGCTGAATCTGCCTTCCCAGGGGCTGAGGGTGAAGCAAAGGAATGCCCAGGCCCTGCCTGTTGTTCCGGGGAGGGGGGAACCCAGGTCCCAATATGCTGAAGGCTCCCCTCCAGAAGCACCCCTGCCCCTCTGCAGGCCATCCCAAGGCCTGGCCTGCCACAGGGCTCCCTCCTCACGGCTTGCTGTCAGCAGGGCTGTCGGCCAGGGTGTTGGCGATCTCACTGAAGGAGGGCCGGTCCTTGGGGCTTGGGGCCCAGCAACGCTGCATCAGCCGGAAGAGCTTAGAAGGGCAGCCCTCAGGCTGTGGAAGTCGGGCCTTCCCAGCCTGCAGATCTGCAGGGAAAACAGAGAATGAGGAGGCAGCTGAGACTACAGCAGACGAGAGCAGACCACATAGGAGGTAGACACTGGTTGGTCCAAGCAGAGGGTGCAATCTTGCTAGCCAAAGGTCTGACCCTGTGGGCCCCAGCCCTGCTATCTAGCTGGTTCCTGTGGACCAGCCCCTGGTGGGAGTTGGACATGTCATATGAGGACCAGTGGTGGGCACTGGGGTTGGGGCCAGGGCTTTGACAAGACGTGATGGCTGGAAAAACCTCAATAGTCACAGTCTTGCACCAACCAACGGTCAGCCCCAAGAGGGGACAGAGGCAGCTGGAGGGTAGCAATGTGGAGCAACCTCGCCCCTTGAGAACCACCTAGAAGCATCTCTTGGGAAGGCAGGTGCCTACCTGCCAGCACCTCGTCATCGGCCTGCCCACCGTGGGGCATGTCTCCGTGGGTGAACACCTCCCACATCAGCACACCGAAAGCCCACACGTCCGACTTGGTGGAGAAGTCACCCTCCAGGATGGCCTCGGGGGACATCCAGCGCAGGGGCACCCAGGCCTGGCGGAAGTGGTAGTACTCACTGCGGGAGAGAACCAACAGAGAGGGTGGAAGCACAGTGGGGCACATGGTCTGTGGGCCATGTGGGTCTGTGGCATCACTTCCCACACCGAAGTGTAGGAAAGGGCTTGTGTGTGGGGATCAGGGGTGTCACTGGATGGAATCTGGAGGAGACATCCACGTGAGTCTGACAGCTCCAACATTCCATTATGAGAGGTGGGTGGGCATGTGGTGCAGCAGTTAAGTGACCACTTAGGATGCCCACATCCCAAATCAGGGTGCCTGGGTTTAAATCCTGGCTCTGCTTCTAATCCAGCTTCCTGCTCATGTGTACCCTGGGAGTCAGCAGGTGATGGCTCCAAACCAGGCTCCCTGCCACCCGTGTGGGAGACGCACAGTGAGTCCCAGACCTGGCACATTCCTGGCTGTTATGGGGCACTAGGGAGGAAACCATCAGATGGAAGGACAACCCATACCTTTTTTGCTCTCTCTTGCTCTGCCATTCAACAAAATTAAAAGAATCAAATTCTGCCTAAACATGAATAGAAAACTCAGAATCCATACTTCCCATGCTGGTTTTACACAGTTAAGAAGTCGGAACTTGTTCAAGGCCAATAGCTTTACAAGCAACTAGAGCAACAGTCAGACCAATTGGGACTGACTTGGAGCAGGGTCTGGGGGCGGTGGGCAGGGAGATGGGATGTGTGTCTGTTGCTCCTTCAGGGGCTGAGCGCAATGTCTTGGGCTTTAACAATGACAGTCACTGAAGGCAGGGAACTACAGAGGAGACCACATGAAGAGTTACTCAGAAATGGCTGTAAAGTATAGTCGGTTGTCAAGAAGAAAAGGCTTGTGGCTTTTTATCCCCACAGAAAGGTCACAATCGTCGGGACCCTCGGTTCCCTTTCTGGGAAGCCTGCTGCACTGGAAGGGCCTGAAGGAATGACACAGCTTTGGACTAAGCATGCTCTACCTTCTTTCTCACATCCCTCCCACCGATTGTACATGCCCTCTGGTAGGTTGGTACCCCCCCCCCTCAGCCCACCTGCGCACCCCTACCTGTTGTAGACGTCCTTGCTGAGGCCCAGGGCCGACACCTTCACCTGCCTCTGGACACTGATCAGGCAGTTGCGAGCAGCCAAGTCCTTGTGTACAAAGCGGTTGTTGGACAAGTGCTCCATGCCCAGGGCCACCTGGCTGCACAGGGCCACCTGTGAAGAGGAAGGGGGGCCTGTCACAACACCCAGGGCAAATAAAGGGAGCACCCTTGATGGTGCCCTGGCTGGGGCCTCTGTGCTACTGGTGGGATGCTCAGGGAGCCTTAAAGCACAGGTGCCTCAGCTTGCTTCTCTGTGAATGGGAAGTGCAGCAGTGGCTGCCTCAAGGGGCTGCAGGAGGACTGGGCAAGCAAGTGCACAGGGGGCGGTACAGCCACTGATGAGCAAAAAACAAGTGAGCAGGGGATCAGCACTTACATCTTTTCTTTTTTTTTTTTTTAAGACTTATTTACTTTTATTGGAAAGTCAGATATACAGAGAGGAGGATCTTCCAAGCACTTGATTCACTCCCAAAGTGGCTGCAATGGTCGAAACCGAGCCAATCTGACGCCAGGAGCTAGGAGCCTCCTTCAGGTCTCCACCATGGGTTCAGGGTCCCAAGCCCCTGAGCCATCCTCAACTGCTTTCCCAGGCCACAAACAGGAAGCGAGATGGGAAGCCAGCCGGGCTGCTAGGACATGAACCAGTGTCCATACGGGATCCCAGCGTGTGCAAGGCAAGGACCTTAGCCCCTAGGCCACCGTGTTGGGCCTGCTTACATTTTTTTTTTAACAAAAGACTTGATTAGGGCTGGTGCTGTGGCACAGTAGGCGGAGCTGCCATCTGCGGCACCAGCATCCTACACGGGAACCAGTTTGAATCCTGGCTGTTTCAGTTCCAATCCATCTCCCTGCTAACGCATCTGGGAAAGCAGTTGAGGATGGCCTAAAGCCTTGGGACCCCTGCACCCTCATGGGAGACTAGGAAGAAGCTCCAGGCCTCTGGTTTCAGACCAGCCCAGCTCTAGCCATTGTGGCCATCTGGGAAATGAACCAGTAGATGGAAGATCTCTTCCCTCTCTCTCTATAACTCCCTTTCAAATAAATAAGTCAATCTTTAAGAAAAAGACTTACTCATTTTAAAGAGAGAGAAATAAATCTTCAATCTGCTGGTGTCACTTCCCCAAGTGGCTGCAAGGGCCAGGGCTGGACCAGGCTGAAGCTAAGAGCCAGGAACTCCGCTCAGGTCTCCCACGTAGGTATAGGGGCCCAAGCATTTGGGGCCAGCTTCTGCTGCCTCCCCAGTGGCATTAGTTAGTAGGGAGCTGACTGGGAAGTGGAACAGTTGAGAACCCAACTACAGCTCCGATGCTGCCTTTGCCATTGGTGATTTAATCCACTCTGCCCAATCTCCAACCACACGCCACTCACACTTCTACGGGCTATCTCTTCTTTTCCCCGTGAAAGTCTGTCTTTTCCATAATTTGTATAACAAAATTCCCATATGCATGCATGACAGAACTTACACAGACATGCATGACTGACTGGAGGGGAACTGGACATGAGGGAAGAGGCGTAGGGAAATGTCTGGTTCACATTCTTTGCCTTCTAGACGAGGCACCCCCAAAACTCCAGAGAGTTCCCTCCCAATGGCACACCCTCCCTTCCAAAAGTAGCCCTACCTGGATGTTTCCAATGGCAAGATCTGTCTTTTCTTTAACCACTCACGCATGGGTTCCTAAATGATCTCACTCCAAGACACCTGCTTTAGAACCAGCTAAGGCTAGAAGCACACAAACTGGACATTCCTTTGAACTTTGATTTTCATCCCTCCACACTGTGAGATTCATCTTTTTTTTTTAAAAGATTTATTTTTATTATTTTGTTATTGGAAAGGCGGATGTACACAGAGGAGAGACAGAGAGGAAGATCTTCCATCCGATGATTCACTCCCCAAGTGAGCGCAACAGGTCGATACTATGCCGATCCAAAGCCAGGAGCCTCTTCCGGGTCTCCCACACAGGTGCAGGTTCCCAAAGCTTTGGGTCGTCCTCAACCGCCCTCCCAGGCCACAGGCAGGGAGCTGGATGGGAAGCGGGGCTGCCGGGATTAGAACCGGCACCCATATGGGATCCCGAGCGTGCAAGGCGAGGACCTTTAACCACTTGCGCCACCGTGCCGGGCCCGAGATTCATCTTTTAAAAACAAAACAAAACACCCCCAAAACTTCGGCCTGGCACAATGGTTCAATTGCCGAAGTGCTGGGATCCCATAGGGGCGCTGGTTCATGTTCCAGCTGCTCCACTTCCCATCCAGCTCCCTCCTTATGGCCTGGGAAAGCAGTTGAGGACGGCCCAAAGCCTTGGGATGCTGAACCCATGTGGAAGACCCAAAGGAGGCTCCTGGCTCCTAGCTTTGAATTGACTTGGCTCCAAAGGGTTAGAGCAAAGGGCAAGTGGGTGAATCTGCCAGGATATTAAGCCACCTCTTCTCCCTACCACCCCCCAAGCTCTGCCAGGTTCAGCTGCACCTTGGGTCTCCAGAGGAAAATGTGAGGCCACACTCCTACAACAAGCCCTGGGCCATCGTCCTCAGGATTGCACCAAGGCCATTGTGGCCTGCAGGCCAGCTGACTGTTAGAGTGATCATCACGAACGGGGCTGACCGCAGGCTTTGGCAGCCAGGGCAGCTGGTGTTAGTGCTGGTCCAAGGCTCTGCCAGTGGGAGCACACCGACCCAGAGGGGCCTCCCTCCAGCCTGCTCTCTCTGACCTGGCCTACACACCAAACACTCTGCTCCCAGTCAAGGAAACAGAAGAGGCCGGACTTGGCATGAGGACTAACTTGTTATCACTCCAGAGAGCAACGCTCCTGGCAACCCGGCCTAAGACAGGACAGTGAAAGAAGACGCTGCTTAGACCCACAGCAACTCAGTGCTCCCTGGCTGCCGGGAGACATGCTGTGGAAGACCCCGCATTCACCTTCCAGCTCTGGCTATAGACTTGTCTTCTGGGGCAGTCCAGACCCACCCATTTCTTTCCAACGTGAACACCCCAAGGGCTGGTCTGAGTTCTGGCTGACCCTTTGTGACACTCTCGAGCCCTTGTCACAACAGGCTGCTTCCTGCTCTGGCTGCTGACCACATGCAGCAACGGTCACCAGGCGCAGGAAGCTGGCCCTGTTCCTCCTGGCTGTGTCATCTGCTCAGAGGTGACCAAGGGGCAGAAGGTCACGGTTCTCTGACATCACCCTATCAGTGACTCTAACAGGCATTACTTATGATGGAAGCCAACACCCACAGCTCTTGTCCTCATTTTTTATTTTTTTAAAAGATTTATTTTTATTGGAAAGGCAAGTCAGATTTATGGAGAGAAGGAGAAACAGAGAGCAAGCTCTTCTATCTGCTGGCTTACTCCCCAAATGATTGCAATGACAGAGCTGAGTTGATTCAAAACCAGGAGCCAAGAGCATCTTCTGGGTTTCCTATGTGGATGTAGTGGTCCAAGATCTGATCTGTGTAACCCTCTTCCCAGAGGGCCTAGGCCCAAGGGTCAGGCGCCCAGGCACTGCCTGCTGTCTCCCCAGCTCGGTGTGCACCACAAGGAAGCAGTAGCGTCCTGTCCCTGCCCCATGGAGGTGGACCACTCCAGCTCTCCTACACGGGGGCCCCCACGGGGGCAAGTCACTGAACCTCCTAGGCCTCAGTTTCTCCAGCCACAGAAACGGTGACAATAACCCTCATGTCATAGGACTTGTGAGATCATGAAATAACACAGGCCAGGGACAGCACCATGGGAAAGCAGGTGAGACGCCAGCATCCAGTACCAGAGTGCTGATTCAAGCCCTGCTTATTCCCACGTTGGATCCAGTTCCCGCTAAGCACCCATCAAAGCAGCACAAGGCAGATCAAGTGCCACCCTGGTAGGAGACCGGGATGGAGTTCTTGGCTCCTTGCTCTGGCCTGGCCCAGCCCTGACTGTTACAGCAATCTGGGGAGTGAGCCAGTGGATGGAATTTCTTTCTCTCTCTTTGATATAAAGTACTCACCGTAAGGCCTGGTACCTAAGGGGGCCTCCCTGAATACAACTGCCCCTGCTCCTGGCCCACCCTGGGACCTTCCTCTTCTCCAACCCTCATCCTCACCTTCTGCTTGGTGCTGAGGGGCTGGGACTTCAGCTTTTCATCTTTGCTCTTGGAAATCCTCAGAAATTGCTTGAGGTCTCCCTGTGAGAAAAAGCCAGGCAGGCATGGGGGTCAGGTCAGAGCGTGGCCACCAATTCCTGGGCGTCAGCCCCAGCAGGTGCTTGCAGAAGGCAGGTCAGAGAGCCCAGTTTCTTCTCAGCCCCATAGAGGAAACACACAGAACAATGTCCCTGTGGCAGCCCAGCCACAGCCCACCACCCCAGGGCCCCTGCCAGCCACGTACCAGATCCACGTACTCCAGCACCATGTAGTGGGGCTCAGCCTCCCGGCACAGCCCCAACAGCCGCACCACGTTAGCATGGTTCAGCTTCCCAAACATCTCGAATTCCCTGCGGAAGTCCAGCTGCTGCTGCTCGTCCTTGCTCTGCAGGCTCTTCACCAATACCAGGGTCTCGGCCACGCCCTCCTCTAGGCCCTGCGCCTTGGCCAGGAACACCTCCCCGAACTCACTCTTGCCTGCGGACACAGACTGGGTCGGCCGGCTGCCTTCGCTCAGGACCCAGCAGCCCAGCAGCCCCTGGTGCCCCACAACTTGCTGCCTGGGACCCTGTCACTACCCAAGCTTTCAAAGGCTAAGATGGGGGGGTGGGGACAAACACATCTTAATAGTTCTTAACAACCTTAAGGGTTCTTAGTCAAACTAGGAGGAACATTGGCAATAAATCCTTCATTTGCCACATTTTCCTAGAACAAAGCTGACATCAAGTGTGTCATCCCACTGGCTTCGTGGGGGCCACTGGGGCCATCAGACAGGGTCCCCTTCCACATCCAACACCCTAGGTTTCAGGGGTGCCCAGAACCCCAGCTTCCAGCCCCAGCTGGTGGGGGCCCCTGGACAACACACCAAGGGTGGTGATAGGCTGCAGGCTGGCCCGGGGAAAATGCATCTTGTCACTCATGCTGTGGCGCTTGCTGGCGGCTGCTGGGCCCGAGCCCAAGCTGCTGAGGGCCACTTCCTCCTGGATCTCGGCCGAGGGCTGCCCGTTCTGCAGAGGCCCACCTAGAAAGCAGGGGCATGGGGAGAGTGTCAGATGCAGCCAGTTACTGCTTCTGAAATGGGACACCCCTTGAGCCCCTCAACCCCCAGCCACACCTACACAGAGTGTGTGCCTTCTAGTGGTATATGAGGGGCAATGCACTCACAGGGCACAAAGGGGAGATGAGGAGGAGGGAGAGTTTCCAGCTACCTAAGGGGCTGGGGGTGACTCAGCATTGCCCATGGAGCTCTGCTCAGGGGAGGTGAGAAGAGAGAGTGGGAAACCCTCAGACTAAGGCAAGAAGTGCAGCACAAGCACCCAAGCATATAGGATAGGCTCTGAGGTTCGGGACCTGAGGAGGAAGAGGGGGCAGGGAAACAAAGCAGCTGGTCCAAGAGGCTCCAAGGAGGAAGGCTGCTCCAGAGGGGCGGGGCCGCCTGCCAGGCATTGCCCGTGGCTCTCCCTGCTGTGGCCGCAGGAGGGCGCTCGGTACCCACAGCCTGCGCTTGCGGGCCTCACCGTTGAGACACTCCATCTCCGGTTCCTCGCCCTCGGGCTGCTTCTGCAGTCTCTTGGCCTTGCAGCGCTTCTTGCAGTAGAACATGAGGCCCAGCACAGCGATGATGTAGGCTACGGCGGCTCCCACAGACAACCCGATGGTCTGAATCATCTTGTAGGGTGGAGGGCTGCCCAGGCCCTCCTCCTCCAGCACCGGCTTGTCTGGGAGACCATACAGGACAGGGATGGAGGTGTCCGGACGAGGTCTGCCCCACCACACAGCTCCTCTCCCTCCTCCACTACCCACTTCGTATCTCGGGGCAGGGATGGGGAGGAGGTGTCACGACAATAGAGGCCAAACTGAGGGTCCTATCCCTCAGGGTGCAGAGAGGAGATCCCTCCCAGGGCCCAGTCAGCAGGAGAGGGACCAGCCCAGGGCCTCTCACTCAGCACATCCTCCCCTCCCTGGGTCTGCAGGCCAGAGGAGCCTTGTCCTGCAGCATCCTGCCCTGATGTCCCCTCCCCCAGGGACGCTGTGTGTGTGTGATTGTCACAGGAAACCTAGGAGGGAACATTTGAGAAAGAGAAGTCCCCAACCACCACACACATACACCCTCAAGTTGTGGGGTGCTCACTAATAACCAGCCCAGCCAGAGGAAGGAACCTAAGATGGCTGGGGTGCGATGGGGGTCAGCAGGGAGGAGAGGACAGAACGGGATCCCTCCCCCGCTCCTCTACCACAAAAATGGCTTAAGTGCCCTCCGTCCTCAGGGAGGTGGCAGAAAAAAAGCCTGTCCCTCTCATCACCACTCCCTGTGCAGGACCCCTCCCCACCCTACCCACGACGTAGAGGGGGGCCTCTGTGTGCTTGATGTTGCAGCTGTTGCCCGCGATGCAGGTGTAGCGGCCCGAGTCCTCGGGGGCCACATCATGGATGACTAGGGAGCCGTTCTGAAAGATGTGCATCCTGTCCAGAGAGAAGTCACAGTGCTGCCCGCCTGCATCCCCCACCTCCACATCCCCCGACCCAGGGAGCCAGGATGGCAAGAAGGGCAGGCTGGAGCCCCACCTGGGTCCAAGCTTGGTAGGGTCCAGGATGCGGTCTTTGCCTTTCCACTGGATGAGCGGCTTGGGGTCCCCCTGGGCCTCGCACCGCAGCAGGGCCGTGTGGCCTTGGTACACAGTCGTGCGTTCCGGCTCCACCTTGAAGGTGATGAAGACTGGACAGGGCGAGACGAGCGAGAAGCAGTGAGTGGTGAGCAATGGAGCCCGTGGCCGGCGGGTAGGTTTCCTGCCCCAGCCTCAGGGCCTGACCCCTACTCGCACCTGCCACAGTGAGCTGCACGTGAGCACGGATCTGGCCCTGCGGCCCGTTGGAGGCGATGCAAGTATAGTTGCCGGCGTCGTCTCGGGTCACACGGGCAAAGTGCAGGGTCCCTGCATTGTCGGTCACCCACTCGGGGAGGCTGCTCCCATCTGCAGGGACAACAAGGAGAGGTATGGGTGTCACGTTCCACTTCTACCAACCGGCCCCCAGGTTGGCCTGGCTTGCATTGCCTGCCTGTCACTGCACAATGCTGCTCTCTGCTACTATCTCGGTCTTCAGATCCACGTTCCCCAGAAAAGTACCCCCAGATCCAAGCAGAAGCATCCACTTCCCCCTCAGAACCTACAATCCTATATTCTCCCTGTCCCTGTTGGTGGGAAGGGAAAAATGGGTACAGCCCTTAAAAAAAAAAAAAAACAGCATGGCAACTACTGTCAGTGGCTACAAAAATGCCCAGGCTCTTTCATCCATACTTAGTCTATTTCTGGGAATGTTTCCCAAAGAAAATAAACCTAAATCCAAGGAGGAAAAAAAAAAGCCCTCTGGCTTAAAGATGTAATTAGAGCAATAAAAGCAGGAGAATGGTTAATAACCCTCATCTCTAACAGTTAGGAAACATTCTAATACATTACAGCAAATCCAATCACAGGAGTGTTACTTGCAATGATCAAATCCAGTCTCTGAAGCATAACGCGCTATACAGGAAAGAGCCCAATAATGCTGGGTTGGATGGATACAAGCGATCTGAATTGTCTCCTTCTACAGTGAGGGCCTTACTCGTGTACCTTTTAGTAAGTTAAAACCTCTGTACAATACAACTAAAGTCCTGTGTAGAAGAAGAATGCAGAAATGAGGGATGGTGGAGTTAACACAAGGAGTCCATGTGAACTTTGGTGTTGCAAAGGAGAAACTAGACAGGTACTTCAAAGGGTTTGTGGACAATGACATTTAAAAAAAAAACCTATTTTGGTATAAAAAATTCATATTTACATATGTCAAAGATCTTCAAAAAGTCCACGAACAAAAACAAAAAAAACACCAAAAAACCCTGCACGTGAGGGCTGGTGTTATGGTGACCTCATTGAACTGCAGTGCTGGCTTCCCACCCAGGCAGAGATTTGAGCCCCGGCTGCTCCGCTTCCCAGCTACCCCCCTGCTAATGCACCTTGGAAAGCAACGGAACACAGCCCAAGTGCTTGGGCCCAAGTGCTTGAGCTCAGGCTCCCGACTGGCCTGGCCCAGCCCCAGTCATTGCAGCCATTTAGGAAGTGAATCAGAGGATGGAACATTTTCCCTCTCCCTCTCTGTGCAACTCTAAAAAATGTACATGGACTTCAAGGATTTTTTTTTTAATTCTGCTTTTCCACAAACTTTCTGAAGACTCTAATATTTAGAAAAGGGGGGAGAAGGCCTTTCCAGGTCCATCCAGTCCCATGCTGCTCGAGTGGCCAGATGTCCAGCACAGCAATTTGACCCCTGTAGGCTCTGGCTTCCGTCCCACCCTCTTCCCATCTACCAGCTCCACTTTCCTGTCCACATTCACAGTTCCCAGCCTGGCACTCAGGCAAGTGCACAATTCACCCTGCCTGGCCCCACCCACCCTCTACCCCATACCCACGACACCCACCTGCTCGTACCCACTTAATAGTGGGTTTCTCTCGGCCAGTGGCTGAGCAGGGCACTGTGGCCTCCTTGTCAAACTCCATGCACTGCTGTGGCTGGGGCGGCGGCGTGAACTTGAGCTTCTCTGTTTGGGCAGAGGGCGAGCCAGTGAGCAGGTGGAAAGAATAGGTTCCTCCCCACCGGCACCCAGTGGCCACCCCACCCGTGCAGGCTCACCCAGCACTTGGACACGGGCCTGGGCTTCAATGCTGCCAGCTGGGGTGCTGCTCACACAGCGGTACCACGTGCCATCATACACCTCCACGCTGTTGATTCGCAGGGTCCCATTCTTGGACACCTCGAACCGGGAGTCCTGCAGTTCACAAGGGGTAACCACAAGATGTCTCAGAGCCTAAGGCCACTCTGGCTTCTCCCTGGGTGGGGAAGAGGCAAGCCCAGAAGGGAGCAGCTGGGCAGGGAGCCCGATACACCCTCCTTCTCACCTCAGAGATGAGCATCTGGTTCCGATACCAGACCACGGTGGGCTTGGGAGTGGCCTGGGTCAGGCAGTGCAGGTAGCCCGGCTTGCCCTCCTCCAGTTGGCTGTCCTGTGGTTTCTGCAGCCATATGGGCACCGCTAGAAGAAGCAGCAAGACTGAATGACAGGGCCCGCCAGCACCAGAGGACCCAACCCCAATGGAACCTGACACCCCTGAGTTCAGAAACTTCCAGGGACATCAGCCCGGGTGAGAGCCACAGCAGTCAGCCATGCCCAGCGCACCGGCCTGGGTGCCAGCACCTGCCACCTTTGTCGTCACAGTCAACCTGCAGGGAAGGATGCTCAGGCGAGTTCACAGAAGCAGGTGTGAAGTGGTGGGGATATAAAACACTGGCCCTGTGGGACTCCACAGTCCTTGCCCTTCCTACACTCTGCCTAGACTGCTCTCTGCTTTCCTATGTCACCCATACAGATCCCATCCAGCTCACCTCAGTCCTAACCCCTGACCACCCCGCTGAGCTTCAGCCTTGCAAATTCACCTGCCTGCTGGCCATTCCAAGCTCTCCCCTGGCCCAACACCCACTAATGCGCCTGAGAAATCTGCAGAGGATGGCTCAAGTCCTTGGGGCCCCTGCCACCAGGTAAGAGACCTGGAAGAATGTCCTGGCTTTTCAGCTTGGCCTAGCCTCAGTTGTTGCAGCCATCTGAGGAGTGAACCAACAAATTGAAGCTGTCTCTAATTCAGCCTTCCAAATAAATAAATCTTAAAAAAAAAAAAAAAAGACAGTCACATCCCACAACAGAGCAGCTGGGTTCAATTGGCACTCTGGCTCCTAACTCCACTGCTGAGCCTGGGAGGCAGTGATGGCTCCAGGGATTGGGCTCCGGCCCCCCACATGGGACCCCTAGATTACAACTCCAGCTCCTGGACTAACTCATGCTGGTGTAAGCATCTGGAGACGGAAGCAGTCAACGGGAACATTCTATCCCTCTTTCTCTTTCCATCTCTACCTCTCAAACAAGACCCAAGTCCCTCCAACGCAGCAGGTGAGCCACAGATGAGAGGGAGGAGAGTATGTTTGCTTGTCACCCTGTGACAGCCTAGAGGGACGTGGCTTCCCAGCCCCACCCCGAGGTGGCTGGGAGGACAGACCACTCCTCCGGAGCTTTAACAGCCTCACATTCACAAAGCTCTTTCCATATCCAGACATCTCTGCAGACTCAACCACATGGAAGGACATGAGTACTAAGTTAAGTGGAACAGGCAGATTGGGAAACTGTGTGTGTGATCTGTGTGCATCACATACACAGTGCAACGTGTAACTCTTTTCAGCTATCATGAAGGTTTGGAATTAGGTGAAGACATGGAAAAAGTAAGTTCCCAAATATGAGGGCACTTTCCCAGAGTTTGTGGGAAATGGGATTAAATTCATTATTTGGGTACAAAAAAACCCCTAAAATGTTTGAAATCTGTGGTTTGTTCACAATAGTGTTTCCCACGAACATTCAGAAGCCCCTAGTGAACAAGCTGTGCCTGCCTCCGGTGCACTTCCGGCCACCGTGATCCTTCCTCCCGCCCCTTTTCCGGAAGTATCACGTCTATGATCGGGGCCTCCGGAAGAGCAAAAATGCTTCTCAGCCATTTCGATCTTTCTGAACACCACACGCAGAATAAACAGAGGGTTCTTCCTGGCCCCATTTCATAGAGGAAGAGAGAAGTGAGCTCGGACAAGGCAGCTGACTCGGGTCCCTGGTCCCTGCAGGCACCAGCTGCAGAGTGGGACCTGACTCCAGGGCTTATCCCTCTGCAGCTGGGAGCGCCGTTTCCCCAGGGGCCTTTTCCCCTCCAGACCCTGTGCCAGGCTGGCCACCATCTGCACCAGTAGGATGGCCCACAGGACAGAGGCGCCCTCCCACCCTGACCCCGTCCCACTCACTGGCCACGGTGATGTTGATGTCCTGTCGCCGCTGGCCAGCCAGATTGGCCGCGAGGCAGGTGTAGACGCCAGCGTCACCCTCAGCCGTTCTGGTGAACACCAGATCATGGCCATTCTGGTAGACCCTGCCATGGGTGGGCAGCCGCACACCGGCATGCTCCCACCACACACTGGGCTCTGGCAGGCCGTGCGGGGGTGGGCAGGCCACACGCTCCTCACTGCCAGCAGTGAACACGCGAGGCTCAAAGGGCGCCATGTCTTCAATCTCTGTGGGCAGAGAGCGGGAGGGAAGGCGGGGGACCACCATGGGCTCAGGCAGCACAGGGCTCTATTCTGCAAACTCTCCCTGCTTCCTCCCCAGCATTCTCCCTCCCCATATTCCAGCCCCCCACCCTAGAACCAGAGACCCACCTGCCAGGTGCAGCGTGGCCTCCAGGATGACAGGGGGACCCCTCTGGCCTTGGCCCACGCATCGGTAGACCCCTGCGTTGCGAGGCCGGACCTGGGTCAGCAGCAGGGAGCCATTGGCAAACACGGTGGCTCTGCGGAGGTGTGGGGGGCTGCAAAGGGGAAGGGGAAGAGAGTGGTGTTTCCAAGGAGCGGGCTGTGCACCCTCTCCAGTAAGAATGCTGCCCTGTGGAGGCTGCAGAAGGGCAAGGACAGGGCGGCCAAGAGGGACGCAGGCACTTAACACTGGCCTGTGTGAGCATGTGCCAGGATGCATGACTTGCTCCTGTGTGTGTGACAACCAGAGTCATGAGTCTTGTGGTGGGAGGCAGATGGCGGTGTGGCCAGCCACAGCTCCAGGATCTACAGCCCATCGGCCATGTCTTCAGGGTGGGAACCACACTCCCAAGGTGCGGGGAAGGTGTCTGTTGCTCTCCTACAACCTCATAAGGAAATGTGTCCCTGTGAAAGGTCTAGAAGACCCCGGCACCTCAGGGAGGTGTGTGCTTCTTCCAAAAGTTGGGTGTGCACTTGTGTGTGCCTTATCTGTACGTGTGCTACCATGTGCTTGTGTGTGTGTTGTGTGTTCGTGCCTGTGTCCATGTGTACCTGTGTGCACACGGATGAGCATGTATGGGCACACAACTGTGTCTGTATGTGTGATTTATCTTCTCCATCGAGGAACTTGCTATCCAGGCTGTGACCACCCAGGTTCCTGAGGTCCCTCCCTCCCCGGGCCTCCCCTTCCCCTCCCCTGAAGACAGAGGGTATGAAGCGGCACAGCCAGCCTCCCTGTTCACACAGCGCCTTTGTGCAAATTGGAAAAAGATGCCCTTCCCAGAGATGTTTCCCTTTGTTGCCCTTATTTTGAAGCAGTGAAAATACTCTTCTGCCATCTGCTGGACACATGAGCTACTACATGCATGAGTCTATAGCGTCTGGGTGGGAGTGCAGTGCACCACCAGGACCATGTTCTTGGGGGATGTTTACCGACTGCGGTTGGTGATGGGAGTGTCATCCTCAAAGATCCATTGCAGGCTTGGGGCTGGCTGGGCCGCGAACTGGCAATGGAACATGGCCTCGTCGTTCCTTGCCACTACCAGGTCCTGGGGTGCCAGCACCACCCTGGCAAAGCTCTCATCTGGTGAAGGGGGGAACATGAGGTGGAGGTGGGTGGAAGCCTCTGCCAGTCCCACCTCACCCCTTCCATCCCCAGCCCAGGCTCACCTGCAATATTCAAGGTGAAATTCTGGCTGCTGCAGGCCTGGCCAAAGGCATTGTGGGCACAGCAGGAGTAAACGCCATTGTGCTCGGGATTGGCTGGCTTGAGGGTCAGGTGGCGCTCCTTGCTGCTGACCGTATGGTTGCTCTGACCATCCGAGAGGGGAGTGCCATCTCGGAACCACTGGTAGGTGGGCCTGTGGGGTGGGGAGAAGGTTGGTGGCCGAATCTGGAGAGACTGCTCCTAGCTATCTCCCCTGTATCAGGATGCTGTCCCCACCCCCAACCCTTGGCTCCTTACCGAGGGTGCCCATCGATGTGGCAGCGCAGTGTGACCTGGGTCTGGGTCTGGATCTCAACCTCGGAGGCTGGGTGCTTCAGGGTCACGGGACCCCCCTCGATCCCTGCAGCAGAGACCACCTCAGGTACAGTAAGGGGCGGAGCCGGCACAGGGTTGGGGGAGGAGGATGCACAGCAAATCAGCGAACCTTGAAGCTTGACTGAGGGCATTTGGGGGGGGGAGTATCAACAGCCACAGGAGATCTGTAGGAACTAGTCCCAGTGCTCGCCCCAGGGCCCTACAGGATCCAGCCTGACAATCAAGGGCTTCCAAACCAGCAGATAAACAGACCCAAGACTTGAAGAGGGGAAGAAAACAACTTGGCGAAACATGAGACTGCAATTTGCTCCGATCCACCTAAGCAGGGAGAGCTGACAGCCACTGTGTCCTGTCCGCTCCATTCAACTGGAAACGGGAGAAGCTGAGGGCAAAGGAGGGTCCCTAGGGGCTCAGCAGTGGAGGGTGTGATGGGGTCAGGAGGGGCAGGCTCTCACATTTGATGTTGAAGGAGGCGTTGGCACTGCGGGCTTCCTCTCCAGTGACATTATCGCGAGCCACACACTGGAAGGCACCCGAGTCCTGCAGCCGATCCACGGCGGCAAAGCTCAGGCTGCTGCCCTGGGCGGAACGACGCTCTGTGTCCTGGACGGGCACCCCATTGAGCAGCCAGTAGATGTGTACAGGGCCCGGGGCCTCGACCTCACAGCGCAGCAGTGCCCGGCGGCCTTGCAGAGCATCTTGTGAAGATGGTTCCTTGATGAAGACAATGGCTGCCCAGGTGCCTGTGGTGGGGACATGGTGAAGGCAGGGTCAGAAGGGCCTGGGAGGTGCCTCTCCACACAGCAGGCATCCAGCAAGCACAGGTGTGACAGGGCCATGGCAACGCCACCAACGAGAGTTCCAAAAAGACTATTTGATGATGGCACTGAGTGTTGTGTAGGATACAATGCCTCTAGCCCTCATCCCGAGGGGCACAAGGAACACCTCTCCAGGATGGGGCTTCAATCATGGAAATGCCAGAACAAGGCTGTGGGCACCCATGCAGAAGACAGCCTCAGGGTGGCATAGCAACAGGCTAGGGAACATGTAACACAAGCACCCTCCCTACCACCTAGAGTGAGGACCCCAAGAATTTCCAAGGAAGACAATCTGCATACATACACACACACCATCCACCCAAGGGTGGTGATAAAAGATGTAGCCATGGCTCAGGTGCCCTGCCAGCCAGAGTGAGCCAGGGCCTCCTCCTGGGATAAGGGCTGCACTCCCCAGTCACCCGACCTGTGGTCACCGCCATGCCAGGGGCAACCCCACATCAGGGGTTAAGGTCAGCTTTTCTGTGCTAAAGTGACAGGGGACGGAATAGCTCCAGGTTTCCTCCTGCACCCATGCCTGCTCTTGCACCCCTGTGGCTCAGCATTGGCTGAGGTTGGGAATGAGGATGAAGCACTCACAAAGGTGACCCAAAGACCCAGCAACCACAGCATGACAACTGCAGCCAAGTGGGAAACGTGTGGGGGGCAGGGGAGGGGACAAGAAGCCTGTGCTGACGAGCACATGGCCTGGGGAGGCGGAGGGCAGGGCCGGGCAGGTGGGTGGCACAGTTACAGGAGTGGCAGGAGTTAACACACGGGGCTTTGTTCCCAGGCCATCGTGGGCGCCGCCTGGGGCCCTTGGCCTTGAACTGGGAAGAGGCTGCTTTTCCCACCTGGGCCTGCTGCATGAAGACATAGGCTCTGCCCTGGCCAAGGAGGCTGGGCAAGAGCAGGAGGACGGACTAATACGTCTGGCCCCCTCCTTCCCCAATTACTAAGCCACAACGCCTTGGACCAGAAATAGAGAGAAAGAGGTCCTCCAACTGCTTGTTCACTCCTCAAATGGCCGCAACAGCCAGAGCTGAGCTGATCTGGAGCCAGGAGCTTCTTCCGGGTCTCCCACATGGATGCAGAGACCCAAGGACTTGGGCCATCCTCTGCTGCCTTCCCAGGTCATTTGCAGGAAGCTGGTTCAGAAATGGAGCAGCTAAGACTCAAACCGGTGTTCTTATGGGATGCTGACGCCAGAGGCAAAGGTTTAACCTACTACATCATGGCATTGGGCCCTCGGGTCTGTTTCTTGAGGACACTCGATTCAGTTTTCTCATGAAGCCAGCACCAAGGATACCCGTTAGGGGCTGACCCTGTGTGGATCCACACCCAACATCTTCAGAGTCCACACCTTCCAGCACAGAACTGTCAAGGGAATGGGAGTCTGGTGCAGGGTTAAAGTGACACCTGCACTCCCCATGGTAAAGTCCAGTTCAAGTCCTTGGTGATGCTACTTCCCATTCAGCTTCCTGCTAAGGTAGCCCTTGGGAGGTAACAGATGCCAGCCCAAGGCCTTCGGCCCCTGCACCTGAGCAGGAGATCCAGAGGAAGCTCCTGGCTTCGGATTGGCTCACCTCCAGCTGTTGTGGCCACTTGGGGAGTGAATCAATGGAAGAATCTCTCTCTGTCTCTCTCTGAAACTGTCTTTCTTAAAAAAAAAAAAAAAAGTACAAAACAAACAGGAAATTCCTGGCAGTGTCCCAGAGCATCCCTGTCCCACTGAGGCACTGCTGGCTCTCAGAGTGGTATAATGCCACAACCATGCAGTTTACATATCTGCCCACCTGGCTGTGCATACAACGCCCCAGGGCCCAGGATAATCCAAACACACTCATTCATTGCCAAGGGTGTGCTGGCACCTCACACAACCCCACACCCAGGCCCACAGCCGTGAAGGGACCTGTTGCCGATCAAATCAAAGGCAGAATCAAGGATTCAAAGAAGCCACCAACTCCAGGACCCACGCTCTTCCCAGTCCCACCCCAGGACTCAGACACAACCCTGCAAGTATGTGACACCGGGGAGTCACATTCCCCTTTGCCAGGCGCAGGCGCGGAAGCAGACACACCTCTGGGCAGGCAATGCCAGGCACACAAAGGCACCTGGGGAAGGCTGAATGAACCGCAGTAACCCCCCAGCCAGAGTGAGACAAGACCAGTGCCTGGCAACGCTCCCGGCGCAGCTCATGTGATGACACGCACCAACGGACCCGGGCTGAGGCTGCGGGGGACAGAAGGGGGGTGTGTGTGCTCTGCACGTGGGACCCTGGATATGTCCAATCCAGGATACTGGATTCAAGCCAAAGAGAGAATGCCTCTCCTCCCCACCCCTACTCATCCCCACCTTCACTGTGAGCCCCCAGGAGTCTCAGCCATGAACAGGAGTTATTAAGGGTTTAGAATCAACACAGGTCAGGCACGATTCCTGCCCTTGGCATGCTCCACCTTGCACAGGTACCACAGTGTGCCTGCCTCAGTTTCCTGGCCCCATCCCGGGATGGCAGGGACATTGGGAGGAGTGTTGTGGACAGCACTCCCCCACAGACGGGGCGGGGCAGAGGAAGATTTGTAACAGATTCTTGAGCTCCAGGGCTCCACTCCTGCAAACACAGAGAAGCCCCCGCCTGCCCAAAACCCAGGACTATGAAAAAGGGGAGGGGATCTGCAAGGGACAAAGGATCATTGGGTGGTGGGTGGGATGGAGGGAAAGGGGTCGGGGGCTGCAGGACCTGCAGACCACCTGCCCCTGAAACCCGAGCTGGGGGAAGGGAGGGAGGGGGCCCCAGCTCAGTTGCAGCTACCCCCAGCACAAACTCCAGCACCGCCCCCCTCCTAGCATGGGGGCTGTGCTGCTTCATAGCTGTGGTGAAAGACACTGCATTCCCAGACTGCCTCTCAGAGCCCCTCATGCCCCCGCGGACAGGGCCTGGGGCACATCAAAGCCAGCCCCGCAGGGGCCTCTGTCCTGACGTCAGCCCACAGCAGGCCCTGGTTAGTGCTTGGCTGGGGCTGGCTTTAGATGTTTCAAAAGCCAGAGGGGGTAGCCACGAAGTCTCCTCTAAGGCTGCAGCCCTGGCTCCGAGTACCTTGGCCGAGAGACTGTGCCCTCATGAGCCTGGCCCAGTGCTGTGGCACACACACAGCTCAGATGCCATCCTGTCAGGATGCACAGTGAGGAACCGCAGCACAGCTGGCAGGAGCTGTTGTCAGCTGGGGCTGTCACACAGGAGGGGAGTCAGACAAGAAGTCCCGGTGCACGGAGGAGTCCCTGTGGCCATACCAGACTCCAGAAAGGAAGACTGACACTTGAGGGGCTCCTGATGGACACTGCTGATCTCATGAAACACAGGGCAGCGATGACAGAAGAGGGGGAGGGTTTCTGGGGACTCAGGCGATGCCTGCAGGGAAGGCATGCTACTATGGGGCTTCCCAAAGCCATTTACCCTCTCTGACCGTGCCACCATGCCATGCGTCACCCCTCCCATATACACATAACCCTCTGCATCCCATCCCCACATCTGCATCCAGGAGGCTGTGAAACTGGGACCCCAGCCCTACCTGCCAGGTGGGGTGAGCACAAAATGCATACATGGACATAAAGCCTGAACCTGCACACAGTGGATCTAGTTTCCCAAGTAGCCCCCTGGCAACAAGTGGGCAGGATTATCTTCCCATACCAGGACAAGCCCAGCATAGCTGGAGCCACAGAAACCTAGTGGGGACATTTTCCAAGCCACTTTCCTGGTGCCCTAATAGCCGTCTACATCGAGACACTCTGCCTGCGCCTCCAGCAGTGGCCCTCCAGAAAGGGTTGTGTGGGTAGCAGCCTGGCTCCCATGCCCTGCCAGCATCTGATCTGGTACCCACCGTCCTCACCCTCTTGGCCACAAATCCAGCCAGTCATGTGTGCACCTATGTGCGCACATACACACACTCACATAGAGGTGCAAGCAGCTGCTGTGGATGGCAGACGGCAGCAGGAAGCTACCCCTATGCAGTCCAGCTCTAAGCTAGCCAATGATTTCTATCTCAGGTGCTGGCCCTTCAGTCTGCGGAAAATACCCCCAGTACCTGGACAGGCCTGGGAACTGGCCAGACCCAATAGGCTGATCCAATTTCCCTCTTACCCCTCTTATTAAAGAAGGTCCCATTTTGGGTACAGGTGCCTCTGGACTAGGTTGAGGCACCAGCGCCCTGGCAAGGGAGGAACTGGAGGCTGGCAGTCCATGGGTCCTCCAGAAAGGGCTTGGACATTCTGTACAGAAGTGTGCGCTGTGTGTGTGTGTGTGTGTGTGTGTGTAAAGGGCTTGGGCATTCTGCACAGCAGTGTGGTGTGTGTGTGTGTGCACGCGCATAAAGAGCTTGGGCATTCTGCACAGCAGTGTGCGGTGTGTGTGTGTGTAAAGGGCTTGGGCATTCTGCACAGCAGTGTGGTGAGTGTGTGTGTGTGTAAAGAGCTTGGGCATTCTGCACAGCAGTGTGCGGTGTGTGTGTGTGTAAAGGGCTTGGGCGTTCTGCGCAGCAGTGTGTGGTATATGTGTGTGTGTGTTTGTGTGTGTATGTGTAAAGGGCTTGGGCGTTCTGCACAGCAGTGTGCGGTCACGTTTGTGTATCCCTTCCTCAGGCTGTATTCTCCCTAAGACAGAACTTTCCAAGGACTCCATCCCAGGGCTTCAGGTTTGCGGGGTGGCAGGGGAAGACCTGTCACCGTCCCGTGCCATGTCCAGGAGTACAGTACCACGAAAAGCATCCTAGCTCCAAGAGAAGCGCAGGTGTAGGTAATCCAGGTAAGCTGGCAGCCCCCTGAGCTCCCCAGCTCCTAGGAGAGAGATAGTAAAGGCTACCAAGCCAGAGAGGTCCCCAGGTCTTCCCCCAGCACCAAGGAGACAGAGCCTACATGGAATGAGCCACCCCCAC